TGTGTTAACATATCAATACTTATTTGAAACTTAGGGAATTTCTTTCTTTCTTATTTATTTATTTACGGAACCAGGGATTGAACCCAGGGACACTTAGCCACTGAGCCACATCCCCAGACCTTTTTATTTTTTATTTTGAGACAAAGTCTAATTTGCTTAGGGTCTCTTCAATTTGCTGAGGCTGGCTTTGAACTTGCCATCCTCCTTCCTCAGCCTCCGGAGTTGCTAGGATCATAGGCGTGCACCACTGTGCCTGGCAACTTGGGGAATTTCTTAACAGGGAAATAAAAAGATATTCAGAAAAGCAAGAGTCATGATACATGGTGATGCTGTGGCAACATATCACCTATGTCCTAGTGAACAGCTCTATTTGTTAATCTAGGTGGAAATTCACATGCATCAGTCTTTGGGAAATCTTGGGAACTACATTTGCTACAACACTGACATGTTTAAAAAGACGGGTCAGTTGTGGTGGTACATGTCAGTAATCCCAGCTACTCAAGAGGCTCAAATGAGAGGATCACAACTTAAAGGTCAGCCTTAGCAGTTCAGACTCTGTCACAAATAAGAAATGTAAAAGTCTGGGGATGTAACTCAGTGATAAAGTGCCCTTTCATTCAAACCCTGGTAGTACCACCACCACCAAAAAAAAAAAAAAAAAAAAAAAAAATACACACACACACACACAGATCCCCAAAGGAAGACTCATTCTTATCTTTTAGCTTTAAGGAGTTAAAAACTGCACTTTTTTAGGAATGAATATAAGGCAGGAAAAAAACCTGCACATATCAACATCATGTTCAAAAAGTTTGTTTTATGATGGTGCTGGGGACTGAACCCAGGGCCTTGTGCATGTGAGGCAAGCACTCTACCACGTGAGTCATATCCCCAGCCCCCAACATTATGTTCAAAAAGAAGAGCTGGAGGGGAGACTATTACAGACCTTGTAAACTCCTGTTCTTCTCAAGATTGTAATTTTAATAGGACAAAGGGGAGACTTGATTTGGCTGTTGAGATTAGGAGCAGCAATAGAAGAGGGGTTAAGATATAAATCAGAAACCTAACTCTTCCTTCCAAGTGCTGGCTCCCCTTCTTCATATTACCCACATTTCTGACATTGTCACTGAGAGGAACCCAACCTGAAGGGAAGCCAAGTACCTCACAAACCTGGAAACAAGTTTTATTGGGGAATAGTTCTAATTGTGTTAAAGCTGCAGGCAAGTTTATTTCAACATTACAGTTCTAGAGACCCAGGAGTTTCAGAGATCCCAGTATTGAAAAAGTTATTTCAAAATTAATAACCAAACCCACACCAAAAGGAAATAGCTTTTAGATTGGTTTGAAATGTACAGCCACTGATTTAAGCTCCTCTCATAAACAGGCTCAACATCTCCATGGAAATCAAGTGGGATGGAGTCAATGCCCACAGGAGGAAATGTCTTAAATAAGTTAGCTACTTGGACAAGATTATTTACTCCTTAGAAAAAACAGTAAGGTAGTAAGTCCCAGCTGGCAGGGATGTGGAAGAGCACCAGTTTTACAGGGAGCTTGTGGGATCCTGGGGTCACAAGTTGTTTATGGCACACAAAACAAGAGTCACTGGAAGTGGGCAGGGAATGTTGAAGGGTAGGGGTCTCCCGCAGCCTACTCAGCCTTTTAACTTGCTGAAAATAGAGGCTATGTTCTGTAGCATCTTTGGGAGAATATCTGACAGTTAGAAAACAAAAATAAAAACCCTGGTCTTATTCCCCACAAAGTCTGTGTCTGGAAAAAAAGAGGAATGGTCAAGGTTCCCAGGGGGGACTGCGCCTCCCATCCACTTCTGTCTCCACATGATATAAGACATCAGCCAGAGTGTGTTCTACCACAGCACCCCAGCCCATGTCACTCATCTGCAGGAGAAATAAGAAAAAGGGTGATTAAAAGAGCCACAGAAAGAAATAAAGATGTTGAGGATGCATGCAGACATTTTACTGTTACTTACAGGGTGGTAAGTGAGATCCTTTGGAGGATACTTGAAACATGGTCCAAAGTTAATGGAAACCTGGAGTGAATTTAATTCAATCAGGCATGGAAAATATAAATAAAATATTGGAAAGTTAAT